AGTCCAGGTGCAGATATAAGAACAATAAGAATCTGATTTTTCCCAGAGTTTTAAAACTTCAACTGATCCTTTCTGAGAAGCACCGAAGAACTGGTTTGGTTTGGTTTGGTTTGGTTTGGTTTGGTTATCTGGGGCCTCAGGACAAAGAAATCTCTCAAGTGTCCCACCTATTTCTCTAGGCTATACAAGTTAAACCCTTAAATCAAGTCCGCTGGGAACAGACTTGTAAAGTAAGCCAGGACTATTACCTGTTATGTGCTGTGAGGGAAATAAGAAAGATTTTACCTTGTATTCTTATATTTTTCCCTTCTTTTTGTTTCATGCTGGTTTGTTAAATTTTATACTAATACAGTCATTTTCTGTTGTGCTGTTTAAGCATTCTTGTTTGTCATTTCAGTAAGTGAATAGGAAAAGGGTGAATTCAGCAGACATTATTACTATGTGGGTATTACGTACAAAATGATTTAAAGTCCCCAAAGTCCCAAATGCTCACAGGCATTCAAAACCATATCATCCTTGGAAGTACCACCTTTTGAAAAGGAGTACTTATAGGAGTAATAGACATCTAAAAGTCAGCATAGTGGGCGAAATGTGTAACTATAGAACAGGACTGGGATTTAAGATAACTTAGTTTCCTTCTCTCAGCTCAGCAATAGATTCCACGTGTGACCCTGAGAAAGTCATTTGTTCTTCATATCCATCAGTTTCTCATTTGTAAAGTTGGGGTAATACCAACATCAAGTGGATCTCAAAAGTCTTATTTGTGAAGTGCCTTGAACTGGTACTGGCAATACATAAATGTTACTTTACACCCTTATACTTGACTTTGAATGAGACACACGTCTACTAGACCATAAACCTACAAGCAGCATCCTTTATGGGAAAGGACTCTTCAGCCCAGAGATAAAATGATCACAAATGCCTAAATAATTTAACTTCCAAGTCCCATTTTCAAAGGGGTTTGTACATTTAGAAGCAGAAGTGTAATTTACTTACAATAGTATCTAAATTTCCAAGTACTGTGCCTAAATAATTTCTGAAGATAGAACTTTGGTTCTGCTAAATGACTTAATACTTTCGAAAACTTCACTCTATCCTCTTGTTATCTCATTCTTTTCCCACATGGTACAAGTTTCAGACACCCTTCCATTGCTAGCTCTTAGAGGAAACAAACTTCCATTTCTTTCTGTAAAAACCAGAATGAAATTTTCAGACAAGAGCATAAGACTCGAGTGCTCAAACTGAAAACAAGACATATTAAGAATATATACAGAAAAAGATTAAAAAGAAAAATATGAATATTGCAACTGCTGGGTACTTTTTATCCCAGCATTTCTAAAGAGTCCCATTAGCTTACAGGGAGTCATATGGGACACCGTGGTCTGCCCATGTTTGCAGGATTGGGACTTAATTTACTCAGTGAATTTGAATGACATAGTACATCAAATATTCAAATAAAGAATCAGTCTCATAAATGTCAATTGCTTCATTTCTTTTTAAGTGCCTTTCTAGCTGATTCCTGTTAAAGGCTTTGAGGAAGAAATGTATTTATTTTTTCATATTTAAAAAATATTTTTCATAAGTCATTTAGCAAACTACACAAGGATAAGCAACTCTATGACTATGATTAATTAAAATAAATTCACAAACATTCATATACAAACTGATCAGCAGCTCAGGTCAGGAATAATTTTGGTCCATAGCTCAGTTTTCTCTAATTAGGTACAGAAAAAGACTCAGCTATGTCATGAACTATGGGGGTATGCTTTCTACTTCTTTTTTAAAATTTTAAGAATTTAATAGTTTGTCAATAAAATAATAACATTGTGAAATCTGGGCATGACTAGTGTCCTCTAAATGTGCGTGCAAGTGTTATTTTGGGGTGGCACCACACCCCCACTTGTCCATGAAAACACCACTTTCACATGCAAACTTTAAATCGGGGTGTCAAACGTATGGCCGGCAGGTCAAATCTGATCCTTGGAGCCTTTTTTCCAGCCTGCTGGGCTAGTGGCAGGCACTGGAATTTGGCAGGCATGGCTCGCTGCATAATCTGGAGCATGCTGGCCCCACTGGGCAGAGCCATGGGCAGTGAGCTTGGCTTGTTGCTGCTGCCCATGGACTCCTTACTCCAGACCCCTCACTGCTGCCCAGCCTCTCACCATTTCTGGACACTTCACTGCCCAACCCCTTGTCACTATTGCCATGGCATCCACTGTGGCAGCCCCCAAGCCCCAGGCTGGATCCAGCCCACAAAAAGTCCTGTGTTCTGGGTCTGGCCCAGGGCCCCGGGTGAGTTTGTTACCCCTGCCTTAAATAATTTTTTTTTAAGTTTTGAATTAATCCTGGATGGAACTACAAACATATATTCCTGGGTATAGTTAAATCATCCATCTTAAATGAGAAGCTTAAATCAGGCATCAGATCTTGCCTTACTGACGTATGTACTTGCATGTATACACACAGGTATTTAATTTTGCTACCACAATCAGCAGCTTAATAGCATATTCACAGTAGTAAATTTAAAGATGTGAAGCATCTGAAGAATCAGGGCCTTATTCAGGCAAGCACTCCTACCCATTCAGTTGAAAATAATGTTAGTACCAGAGCCTTAATGTGCTTAGCTCTGCTACCACAGGGCTATTCATTGCAATAAAGGTAAGCACATGCTTAAGTGTTTGCAGAGTCAGTGTGGTTAAACACTGGTCATGTGCACTCATTTTATGACATAAGAAATAATTTAAATCAAGGTAAAACTGATTTTACCTGATGTATGCAAAACCCCACTATGAACACTGGATTTTGCACTGCTCCAATGGTAAAAATATGCCTTTATCTAAACAGATCTAATGTATGCAAACTAGGCCTAAGGCTCCCACTAGTGTGAATGCTACTTAAACTGAACTATTAGTATCACTCATCCAGCACAGAGACAGACACTTAACTTTATTATCATGAGGAGTCCCATTGGACTATTTAAGGCAGTGAAATGAAACACACATAAATCTATAGGATCAGGACTTTTTTAGACTGTAATATGCAAAATTTGTAGATATGGCTTCTGGTAGCAAACTCACCATACCACTCAAACACACCTGTTAACACTGCATTTTTTTTTTATTTTTTTTTTTTATACACAGCAGTTGATTGTTATACAGGAAAATAAACCACCTAAGTCTTTGTTTTGTATTGACTCACCTTCTTAACATTTTTCCTTGTTCTTAACAGTCCCCATTACACCTTTGATCCAACTGACCAATAAACTGAACTTATCTAAAGACTGCCAACTTTAACAGGACCGTAACATGATAGGAAGTGTTTTTCTTTTGCGCCTTCAGAATCTATGCATCATCTAGTATCTTCCTCTGTTTAAATAAATTTCTGTTTTTCCCCACCTCTTTAAAAAACAGTCAACCACAGTCTTATACAGGCCAACAACTCAATGGGCATGTCTAAACCTGTATTAATGTGCCATAATTAAGCACATTAAGTTAGTACCTGTTATCAGCACTACTGCGCAGTAGCCCTGGCACACATTTTTTACCTGATGCTAATGTGCAGTAGACTCATTCTACCGTGCATTAGCATGGTTTTTGCCATGACATGCTACTGAGCAGTAGAATTGCTCTACTGCACTTTTAGCATCGTGCACAGACGTATCCACTGATGACAACACAAAGTGAACAGATGATCGAGGGAAAAATGCAAGATGCAGGCATTCTTGTGGGTGATATCTTTTATTGGACCAATTGCATGGTTGGATTAGATACAGACTAGCTTTTGAGTACCACCAGACAGTTGGTTGGATAAAAGATACTGCCCACAAAAACGGACGCCTCTTGCATGTCTGCTGGAACATCACAGCAACAACATCACTTCAGCACTACTGAGGAAAAAATGACTTTCCAAATGGATTAACTGATACAAGAGAGCCGATTAGCTGTGTTAGTCTAAAGCAATGGTCACCAACCAGTGGATCTCAATCCACCAATAAATCTCAGAGCCTCTTGGAATCGACCTGAGGCTGGGGTGGGGAGGCTGAGTGCCTGCATACATGCATGCATGCGCCCCAACCCAGCAGGTCAGTCCGTGGGGGAGGGAAGGGATGGGGGCTAGATCAAGGCCCCCACAGTGAGGGACAGTGCAGGGGTAAGTTAAGTGGGGCCCCGGGCTGGGTGGGACTTACCTGCTGGGAAGGTGCCCCCAAATAATTTTTTCTCCCTCTGCCTTGATCTGCCCCCACCTTCCTTCCCCACAGACTTACCTTCTGGGTGGGGGGCAGCAGGGATGGCATGCACAGTAGACCTTGGGTTGCTTTTAAATGCCAAAGGCGATCTCCTACTTAAAAAGGTTGGAGACCACTGGTCTAAAGTCTGACAGAAGGCAGGCCAGGGTGCAGTACCTTAGAGCGGTGTTTCCCGACCTTTTCCAGCCCAAGGCTAGAAAATCAGTTCTGTCAGATTTCTGACAGCGCACCTGAGGAAGTCAGCTGCAGCCTATGAAAGCTCTTGCCTCTCTGGACAAACTAGTCTACAACTGTGCAGGCCAACCTTTTTGTCAGACGTGCCACAAATCCATCCTGCTACACCCCGCCCAAGTGCCACTCTGGTTGCTTTCCCCGCCCACTCTGCTGCCCTGCTCGGTGCTCCTTGGCCTGCGGTCCCCACCTGATCTGCCGCTCTTCTTTCTGCTCCCTGCCCCATCTGTTCCTACCCTTTCTGCTCCCTGCCCTGCTCCCCCTACTTGATTTGCTGTTTTACTTTCTGCTCCCTACCCGATCCGCCGCTCTGTGCTCCCTGCCTTCCCCTCCCGACCTGCACTGCCGCTCTACTCTCCTCTCCCCGACCCCCTCCCCCATGTGCCGCAGAGGCCGGGCTCTTCGACCCGAACAATAAAACCTAGCAGCTCGGTGGTCTCCTGATGATCAACCAGCCCCTCCCGCACCCCGACCACGGAGCAGACGCAGCCTCTGCCCCAAAGACGCCGAACCCTGCTCCTACCTCTCGCTGCGCGGCGCTCACAACCCGCCGTGAGCTCGGAAGGTGGGGCACTGGCCCGGTCGCCCCGCCCCCGGGGGCGGCCTGTGAGCCGGCCCCGCCCCGCCCGCAGGCAGTGAAACGCGTCTGAAGGCCGCGTGTCCCTCTGCGCGGCCCGTCGCGACCCCGTCAACCCCCGTAGCGGAGCCGGAAGCGGCGGCGGCAGCGGCCCGAGCGCGAGGATGTGGCGGGTGCTGCGGGTGCTGCCGTTGGGGGCGAGGGTCGCGCGAGGCTGGGCGCGCGGGGCAGCCACGGGGCAGCCGCCGGAAGAGGAGCGCGACCCCGCGCCCGCGCCGTATCGCGACACCGTGCTGCTGCCCCGCACCCGCTTCCCCGCGCAGCTGCCCGGCCGCCTGCAGCCGCAAGCCGAGCTGGAGACGCAGCAGGTACGGGCGGGGTGGTGCGGGGCCTGGCCCTGAGCCAAAGCTGTGGCCGCGGCTGCTGACAGTTAACTGCACCCGAATCCTCGCGGGGGTGGGGGGAGCTCACGCGCACCAGCCCTATCCCGCGACAAGCGGCTCGTCTGTTCGCAGCGCAGCGCCGCGTTGCCAGCTCTTAATTATGGAAGTATCCTTTTGGAAACCCAACATGTGGTGGGCCCAACGAATATACAAAGACACCTGCGAATAAGCCTTCTTCTCACCTACTTGGTATTGCTCATTGTGACGGTGTGGTGAGGGAGGGAGCGCTGGGGCATCTAAATGGAAGCATTTCTCTGTTTGGAGGCCAGCAGGCATGGGAGAGTGAGACAGCAAACCCAAAAATAGCTTACCTGGCAGGGGAAATACCAAGACCAAGTAGGCAATTGGGCTCAGATCGGGGTGGGGCATCGCAATTCCGAAGGCCTCCGGGCTTGGGCCTGCGTTAGGATGCCTGCCAGATGGGTTTGGGAGTATGTGAAGTCCCAGGGTAAGACCCTGGGATGGAGAATGCTTGTGGGTTGCAGTGCCAAATGTGGTGTTTAGAATTATTGAGATCAGCTGAGCAGGCGGAAGTGGGTTTTTGGGATGATTGAGTTCTGCTCAAGCCGTATGATTTGGAATTGATTTGGCTTGGAACACAAGAATATATTAATAACAAGAAGAAGAAGAAAGAAACAAACCCAAAAGTCGCTTCTCGGCCCCTTGTGGGCTAAGATGCGTCTCTTGGAGACTAGGTGCTAGGGCACAATCCCCCATTTCCATAAAGTAGACATGTAGCTGAGATCCTGCCACTGAGAGGCTGTACCAGACTCTTGTCAGGTGTCCTGTCTGCAGTGCACTGGACAGGGGTGCACACTCCAGTACACACTGTCATTCTAAAGCTGTGCCCAGTTACTCTAGGGAAAGTCCTAGATACACAAAAGGCTTCATTAACTATTCCAGGCCAGAATCTGGACTAGACTTCCCAAGGAGGTGGTGCAGTCTCCAACCTTGGAAGTCTTCATGAGGAGACCTTGCTGGGATCATTTGATCTCTGTAGTATTCCTGCCCAGAGCAGGGGGATTGGACGCAATGATCTTTCAAGGTTTCTTCCAGCCCTTAATTTCTATGATCATGCATTGTATAAGGGTTGAAACTTTATCATATAAATATGATGATTATTGTACACCTGGCAACACTGGCCTAGGAGAACCCCCTTCTGTCACCCTCCCCTCCCCCTTGCTCCCACAGCCTAGTGCCAGCTCCAGGTCTGGCACTTCAGGGGTGAGGCAGTGTCAGGCACAAGCCCCTGCACCAGTGTTGCTAGGTCTTAAATATGAAATTATCATATTGGAAGCTCAAATTACTGTATTTTCTGAAAAACTATTGTACACTGGAAAAAAAATAAGTATGCAAATAAGTCATCTTTTTCTTTACTTTATATTGCTCACTAACTCTCTATAGTGAGTGAGAGAGAGCTGGGTCATCAAAGTTGAAGCATTTCTTTATTTCAAGGCAAGCAGTCATAAGAAAGCACTGACAGCAAACCCAAAGTCAGTTAAGATTCCCTGAGAGTGACTTTGGTTTTGCATATGCTGCATCAAGTAATTGCCTCAAAAATTATTGTATGTTTTGAATTCTTTTAGTATTATCTATTGTATGTCATACAAGGGTTGAAATTATCATACAAATAGGATAACTGTCGTATTTGTGTTTGCCTTGCATCCAGCCCAGTTCCAGAACCAGCAGCTGTGCTGGCCCTGCCCTGTGCCCTAGCTGCGGGGCCTGCCCTGCAGCAGAGGTGGTGGGCGCAGCCTGAGACTGGCAGCACTACATGGCTCCTGGAGCTGGCAGTTTCAGGGCACAAAACAAATCAGTCCCCAGCATAGTGCGCAGGGGAGGATCAGGGACTTCAGAATGGGACTTGGTACAGGCAGGAGGCTGAACTGAAAGTCACAGATGCTAGGCAGGAGGAGGTGCTGCAGAGAAGAGCCAGGCTTCAGTTGCCCAAGTCCCTGAAAGGTGACAATGGGCTGCGAGGTGTCAGACCTAGATTCTCAGCCTGGAACATTTCCCCAGAGCTAGAGTGCTTGAGCTGTTTGTGTTTTAGAGCAGGTGGCTGGGGCTTGCAGGGTTTTCTTCCAAAGTAGTGACTGAGGGAGAAGAGGTGGTAGAGGTGGTGGTGTTCACACTTTGTATTGTAACCGTTGGTTAAAGAACTTGCTCAGGAAGTGCCCTAGTCCAGTGGTTCTCAACCTTTTTTTATACCAGGACCCATCTGTAAACATTGATGGCCAGTCCCGACCCAGTAAATAGTTTAAGTAGAAAACAGTCTCCTGGCCCTGCTGGTGCCCTTTGTTCCTGACCTGCTGCCTCCAGAGTCTGTGTGAGACTTTGGGAGCCCCAAGCAGCCCTTTTCATGCTAGAAGTCTGCCAGCCTGCAAGGAAAAACCCATGCTTTCCCACATTTATCTCCTTTTAAAGGAGAATCCATTTACTAAGTTCCTGACCCTTTCATATATGCTTGTAACCCACAGGTTGAGAAACATAGCCCTAGCCACCAATCTAAAGCTGGTCTGGAGTAAGCCACTTTCCCCCTTCTGTCAAAGCTGAGTGACTGTACAGCCAGGGATTCAAAACTCACTGGGCCAGAAAGGGGGACTACAAAAGGGAGCCCTGAGCTGGTAGGGGAGACTGTTATGTCATTCTCCAAATCATTGTATGTATTTTATCCAGTGTTTAATGCAGCTGCTTGTGCCACTGCCGCTACCATCTTTTCCTCTGAATGCAGTAATCATGCCCCTTAGGGGATGTGGGAGGAGATGGGCATAGTTCATGAAACCCAAACAGGTGTAGGCGTGAAATGAATTCAGCAAAAATGGCTGCATTTTTGATCAGGAGTTTGATCAGGAGCGGAATGCAGAGTACTTGGTGAACTTTGGTAGTGAAAACAAGGGGTGCCTATACATGAGCTGTGGAGCAGGAAGGCTGCTCTGACACACTCTAATTAAAGCTACTTCCCCAGAGCACATGTATAAACTTCCAAAGCATTTGCACACTTTCAGACACCCAAGAAGATAGATGAGGATTGAAGATTTTAAATTCTGCCTGCATGCCACTTTAAGAGCTTAAGTCCTTTCATGGGTCTGCACGATGGTGTCTCTCAGTTCAGTCTGAGTTATTGGTCAAGATCTTTTAAAGAATTTCGCAAACCTTGACAGGTTCATAGATGCTAGGATTAGAAGGGACCTCAACAGACCATCGAGCCCGACACCCCGCCCAGGCAGGAAAGAGTGCTGGGGTCAGATGACCCCAGCCAGATGCATATCCAGCCTTCTCTTAAAGACCCCCAAGGTAGGGGAGAGCACCACCTCCCTTGGAAGCCCATTCCAAATTTTGGCCACCCTTACCATGAAGAAGTTTTTTCCTGATACATAGCCTAAATTTGCTCTCTGTCAGTTTGTGACCCCATTGTTCCCTGTTGCCCCAAGAGGCACCCTGGTGAACAGAGCATCTCCAATCCCTTGCTGCATTCCCCTAATGTATTTGTAGGTGGCCGCAAGATCACCTTTCAGCCTTCCCTTGCGGAGACTGAAGAGGTCCAGGTCTTTCAGTTTCTCCTCATAGGGCTTGTCCTGTAAGCACCTAACAGTACGAGTGGCCCTCCTGTAGACTGTCGCAAATCTGTCAACGTCCTTGAAGTATGGCGGGCAAAACTGGATGCAGTACTCCAACTGCAGTCTGACCAATGCCACATAGAGGGGAAGTATCACCACTTTGGTTCTATTTATCATGCATCTGCTGATGCATGATAGTGTGGTTAGCTTTGCTGATGATTTAGTCACACTGACGACTCGTGTTCATCTTGGAGTCCACTACGGCTCTGAGATCCCTTTCTGCTTTTGTGCTGCTGAGAGGGTCATTTCCTAGCCAGTAGGTGTGCTGGATATTTTTGTGCCCTAGATGCAGCATTCTGCATTTGTCCTTGTTGTACTGCATCCTACTGTGTACTGCCCACTTTTCTAATCTGTCCAGGTCTGCCTGCAACCGTTCTCTACCCTCTGGAGTGTGCGCTTGACCCCACAATTTAATATCATCTGCAAACTTGGACAGAGTACACTTCGCACCCACATCCAAGTCACTGATGAAGATATTGAAGAGTACAGGTCCAAGAACCAAACCCTGCGGGACCCCACTACCCACATGCTTCCAGGTCAATACTATCACTCTTTGGGTGCGACCGCTAAGCCAACTTGCCACCCACCAGACTGTGGAAACATCTATGTCACAGCCTCTTAATTTATTTATGAGCATGGGATGAGAACATATTTACCCCAGATGTATCCTTGATTTTAGTGAAAGAAGAATGAATTTGGCCAAATAGATATCCCATTTGAGATCAGAGAAGGAGGTCAATATTATTGGTATTTGTTCAGTAGCAGAGAAGTGAAAAGCCTGACAAGAAAGGGAAGTCTTCTCTTATGGAATTAGAGTATCTTTTTAATCAAAATTGAATTGAAAATGCTATGACACAATTATATAATGATTTAATTGTTTTTCACATTGTTTTCACAGAAATGTGGCTTTTCAGAATTATATTCATGGCAAAGGCAAAGGAAAACCAAGAAGGAATTTTGTCTTCAT